GTGAAGGAACCTGGTAACTGTTTGGATGAAGAGCGGACGAAAAAGAAGTGTCCATCTCTGCTTTGAGCATAATTTTGTCAGTTTGTTCAGCACAAGGAAGAGATTCTTCATTTTCTTTAGCACACGTATAATTTGCCTTGGTTCCCTAATTATTTTGAACAAGACAGTTGAGTGAAAGGAATGACAGCCCAAAATGAAATTATTCATAGATGGGAAGACATAGCATATCACGATTATATTCCATTACATGCTTCAGAAAATTTACTCCTAAAAGAATCAAAGTATAGAGTCAACATCCTTGATGAGGGAAGAGAGAATTGTACATAGTCTTAGACAGAAATTATGTTACAAAATTATAGTTTCTAATATCGAAAAAAATAGTATGATGCTGAAATTTCTCAGAGCAACTTAAGAAAACGGTGGCAGCTTTGTTTGGGAAAATCTAGTAACATAATGCTAAAGTTATGATGGAATTTCCATGTTTTACTTTCCTACTTCATACATATTTTAGCAACCCAATTATATTTTACTAGTTCGTTATTCTATTAATGGAACTGGAAATGTAGAAGTAGCTATTCCTCGAGTTATTATCAAATGACAACTAGGAAAGAAATACTAATAAAATCTTAACCTGTTACCTTCACTTGTCGATAATGAACTAGAACAATGTTAGAGTGTTCCCTGCAACATCGTTGAACAAAAAAGGGTGAGAAGGGAAGGCCCATCCATAGACAAAAACCATAGAAAATAAATGAGAAATTTCTAGAAGCCTATTATAATTAGTTTAAACCAATAAAATGGAGCAACATGCACTGTTCTATCTTATTAATTATAGGTTAAAGCATAGCATCCTCGAGAAAGAACAAACACATTAAAAGAAAATGTTCCTTCTTTCTGGATACTACCTAATATGAGATGGAGAATGAGAAGAATGCAAAGAGCAGAATCAGGCAAAAGAAGATAAATAAAGAGGGAAATTTTTGCAGTAAACTTTGAAAACATTAAACATAAACACTTACTCTTCAAGCAGCCAATATGTGCGTCTCTGAAAACTCTCATCTTCTTCTCCATGAGCATAATAGCAGTGCAACACATCCACACTTCCAGCCTGAGAGCATCATATTATCCCTCATTCAGTGCAACAATATACAAAGAAGAAAGATTCTCTCAATACATTCTACTTCCTAAAGCGTAATTAACTTCAACGATAGAAATAAAGCCTACAGCAACTTAAACGCAGTATAATTTTACCTTTAGTCTCTCATGTGCTTCTCTTACTGTTTTTCCATCTTTTTTCTTCCTCCAGTTGTGGCCATCCTTTCTGAAGTATCTCAGCACCTTCCGATCAAATAAGAAAAGTGAACCACCTAACGTCAAGGAAAAAATACGATAAGACCTAACGATGAGCATTATTACAATTAGGTTCTACTTAAATAAACTTCTCTATAAATGAATTGAGCTTCTCTCACAAAGGTAAAATTAACTTATGTACTTGGGTTTTTATATAGAAGTTATGTACATGAGTTGAAGAATTTCAATTTCACCTTTTTACTTTCTTCTCCTACAAGAGCATACATGCAGAGAAGTTTATTGAAACATGGATGTGATATTTCGCATAATTTTGTTAAGTTTTCAGTGTCCCAGTGCCAATAAGATATAATTTCTAAAAGATTAAAATCCTAAACCTCCAGCTTCCCCTTAAATAGAAAACCAAACACAATTTTACAAATCCTTTTCTCCTAATCAAGCTATTAAGAAACTAAGACAACTTCTTGGCAGAAAAGAAACCATACTTGGTGGCATAGTAGCAGGTTCTGGAGCAATTCGAAACTTCTTATAGTTGCTGAGAATTGCACAAATTTCCGCCGGACGCAGCCATCGATGCTGTGCTTCCACGATAATTTGCTTGATATCTATGCCCATAAAGAAACATAGAAATTCAAAAATAGAGTCAGCAACAATAAGTAACAAACTTGAACTTTGCGATAAAGGGTTAGCATTTCAATGCTCCACTATCATGGGTACTTCTAAAAAGGGTTTCTTTCTTCAGAGTTTGAATTATTGGAATGTCAAGCAACAAAAGGGGAATCAAAGAGAAGAAAAGCTGACCCAATTGAGAGGGGGGAAAGTACTGTCTGGCCTCAGCCATGAAAGCTCAAAGCTGAGCTCAAAGCTTCAATTTTGTTAGGACCAGTAAGGCAAACAAGAGGTAGGAGAGGACCTTTTTTCTAAATCTAAGAGAAGCAAAAGGAAAGATGGTAGTATATTGTGATGTATGTATAATAAATTGCAATAACTGGGAAAGTTCCACAATGAATTTTAACGCGGAGAGAGAGTGTAACGAGTGTTCAGAGGCTGTGACCAATGAACGAAAAAGGAAAAGTTTTCAACGCGGGAAGTCTTACACTCTGAAAGCGTTATTGTGTTGTGTTGCATTGCATTGCATTGCATCGCAGCGAATAGAAGAGAAGAAAATGAAAGAGAGAAAAATATTGTTTAAGTGAAAACCGCAAAAGCGATTCCACTTTGACTGATCCTTGGCTTATCCTTTCTTCGTCGCACCTTCTCACATCTTTTTCTTGGCTCAAACTCGGTCACTGTATGACGTCATTTTCATGTCTCTTCACAAACATACCAAAAAAATAGTTTCTCAGTTAAAACAAAATAACACATTTTTATTTAACAACATTAAAATCTTCAAAATTACATATATGAAAAAGCTCTAAATTTAGATTTTGAATTTCTTAAAAAAATTAAATTTTGAATATAATATTTTATTTTAAGACAAATGGTATGACACATTGGTCTCTGTAACCTTGTAGGATTTTGAGAAACTGATAAAGGTGGGCCACCACAGGGTGGTGTATTGAACCACCTGGCTTACCATTTTAGAAGCATGGTCCAACTCACTTTACAGAATAATTTTATCAATTATTTTATATTTATTTCATTTAAAAATAAATATTGTGGAACTTAATATATTCATATGTACTCACCAGATTATATTATATATTGTCTAATGTGTAAAAATATAATGCTTTAGACAAAATAAGATAAATATAATAAATGAATGAATAACTCAATAAGTAAAAATTCATAAATATTGACAACTTGTCCAAATGTATTATATTATATTATATACAAATGCATTATTATTTATCGCATAAGTTAAAGAGAATATGTTTATCTTTTTCCTTAAAACATGGTTTATTTTGAATTGTGTGATTTTCTTCCGAAATAGGTGTAACAAATGCCTATAATATATAAAATAGAACTAAAACCATTTTCACGTAAATAAATGGGCATGTATATATTTACTTATTTAACACTATATTCTTATAGTTGTCGTAAACTAATTCTCATCTATTTTGTTTTTTTACATTATAGTAATCTTAATGGCATAAAGAGGTCATATTACTAATTTTGTTATTTTGATGTAGGTGTCTGCATTTGCGTGTAGAGGGTAGAACCATCAACACATAAATTGTAATGATTTTTTTTTTTTATATTATCTATTTAGGGTTAAGAAAGAGAATAATTGTGGAGAATAAATCATCCAACACACTTTCGTTATCATGGGTTTGTCTTTGTAACACTTCTTGTTGTCTACTTCTGCTTTATAGTGTTGATTAATACTTACTATTCGTAGGATTTGTTTCAAATGGAAATTCTTTTTCCAATATTTGAGTCTTGGACAATTATTCTTTATGAAAAGTTTAGCTACTACTAATATTCCTTTTTCGACTGATAATATTCACACAACTCAATTACACAAACTATTTTCGCATAAGGAATAAATACATTGAGTTTTCTTGGTAAAAATACCATTTTTTTTCTACTGTCACTCGGTTAATCATATAGTTTATATATATACTATATTGAAAATATCGACCATTCTTGCTCATCGTAGTACTTCAAATTGGGATGATGAATTGAAGAGGTTTTGTTTAACTGAAATAGAAAAAGTTATGTGAATGGGAAATCCTTAAAGAATTTGGTTCAATGTTGTATTTGATGTGTTGATGATCTTTTTACTAGATTCACAATAAGATATCAATCCAACTCATAAAGAATTGTGACTTCTTTTTACCAAAAACCTTAAAAAATAATAAATTGAAAAACATTTTTTTCTATATGTTCCTTAATATTCTTACTAGTGTTCATACTTATATGAAAATAGGTTGTTGGTTGATGAATTGAACTACGATAAAAAAAAAAAAAAAAGGTTGTTATCCATTATTCTTTATTGAACTCATCAATTCTTGAACAAAAATTTGTTTATAACCAAAATATGGATGCTTTACTGGTATGGAAGTATTAAGACAATTGTTTTGAAAGTCTCATCTACTGCTTTAAAATCAAAGCGATTAGTTGTTTTAAATGTTTCTTGCATCTTTATTATTACATGATGGTAAGACAGCTCATTACATATTTTTCATACCATTGGTCACTAATAATTTTTCTAGTTACAATGTAGGGAAAACAAGTGCTTGAGCTAACTTCCTACTTCTTTAAAAATTAATAATTTGGGATAAATCCCAATACTGAACAAATTCTGCTTTAAAGCAGTTGACCATACCATTAGCTATGAGATTTCCTTTCAGTTTCAGAGAATCTAATTTTCATTGTCTGTGTTTTCTTACAATATCTATAAATAAATGTCAAGAACAATTTATTTTTTTGGTTGGATTGTACTTACCTAGACTCTTTCACTCATGTGCAGTTGTATGTTGCAGTATCTGAAGTAAAAATTGGAGAAAAGGTATGAAAATTTTTATTTTAGATGATGAGATTAGAAATTTTCCTGAACTTCAAATGTTGTACACTTATTTTAGATGTTAATAAGAATAGAACCTTTCGTGAACTACAAATGTCGGAAATAGGGAAATGTTCCAAAATATGTACACTCGACCTTTTAAATTCTAATAAAGCGTTTTTCTTTCTTTGGATTATTATTAAGTAAACAACATAAAATCAGTAAGAGATCCAACAGAAAAACATAACTAATTAGTTCTACGAGACACCCTTGATTCTTCTTACATCCAGCAACATTCCAACACCCAGCAAAAACAGGGGTGACAGACTAAGAAAATAAGCAGAAAATTCCCATTTTTTCAAAGATCAAATTTATTTCTAGCTTTAGTATCGCTGGCCTTATCATCTATGTTGACTCTACTTTGAGAACTACCTTCATGAACTCGTAAACAAAATAACTAATAGCAGCTGATGGTAACACCTGAAAAGTCACAAAATTAAAAACAACATATTGAAACATCAATAAAAGGTTGTCTGTAGTATTAAGAACTTGTCATAAATAGACTAAAGATGAAAACCAGCTCTCAAAACTAGCTGAAACTAAAAGAATAGAGAAGTTGGTACAAGTCCATCCTCTGAACTTTAGGAAGGTTTGGAACAATTAATCCAATCTACACAAGGTTAATACAGCTAAAATAATTTTTTATCCTCTCTTATCTTGCTTATTATTTTATAGCTAGGAGAATTTCACAAGTTATACATCATGCTGAGACTTTCACTGAAACTAAACATTGTTCATATCAGGCGATTTTACTTAAGGCATTGATTAAGAAACAATATTTCATGGACTGGACATATGCTGAAATTTTTATGAAGTTTAAGTTCACTTTCAATTATCATAGACTCATTTTACTTGTTTACTGAAATTTAAAGAGTTTTCACGGATCAAAGCATATTATCAAGAATAGAAACCATACCTGCAATAAACTAGGAGTTAGTCCTGCATAGAGGGCGGGAACACCTCCTTGCTCAACAATCTTGACACAAGTTGCCAGTGCATTTAACCTTGTTGCTCGTACTTGCAATTGAAGCTGTCTCCTTACAACTTCAAAGGGGTAAGTAGCAGCTTCAGAACAGCAACCAGCAATAGCACCATATAATAGAGTTCTGATAGGACCCAATTCCAATTGTTCCAGTGCATTCAAGTCTTGGGCCTCTTCTTTCATGCGTTGGATTCTTTTCCTTCCTTCAGGTGATTGCAGATATGCTGACTTTAAGATATCATAAACACCATAGTAGACAGCACCTGAAGGTGCCATACTGATAATGGAGGGTACTAAACCCTTGTAAAGAGAAAAGAAGCCCTCTGTTCTTATCATGTGGCGGAAGGCACCAATCACACCTCCTAAGGCTTCACCACCAGGTGCTACCATTACCGTCCTGATCTGAAAGAAATCACTCTTAGAACACAAGCACAAAAAACTCAATAAAAGATTGAACTATGTCGTACTACTTTGTTTGAGTAGGCTTCATGAAATTCAAGAGAAAGACTTTTTTAGTGCTCCAAATGTTGAAGGCAAGGCACACGTGAGTGAAGTGACAACAGACCATGAAAAATTTCTGGTATTCAACCAAAATCTTAAGCAACGACAAGATTTCATAGAGTGATTACAATCAAGAAGCATCATGGAGGAACATATATATCAAAAGGTAAGATGGGAATGCATGAATATGTGACAAAAGAGAACATGCTTACAATTTCCAAAAGTTTATCAATGTAAAGAGCTCTAAACAATTATTGTTGCTAGCAAATAAGAATAGGACTAAGCATCAACTAAACTCACAGAATCACCTGAGAGAGGTGGGCAGATAAGAGGAACATCACTATTCCTCTTTAGTTTTGTAAACTACTAATTGAGAGAGATTGAATTGAAGTTAGCTAGCAACATTGCCAATTCAAAGTCAGTAAATAAATTGGACCTATGCGATTGCACCAAACCGGTGTACAAAGACCACATAAACAAGCCTGCATTAATTCATACCCATCATTTCATCCTTCTTATAGCATCACACCAAAAGAAAGTGTACCTATACTTAAACAGTACCTATAAAGTCATAGCAGTCCTATCCTATCATACTCTTCAAATCATCAGAATTCGAAATGCTTGCACTAGAGAGAACAAATAACATGATTTTGAATTTCCACTCACAGTGTCCATGGGCAAGCAGAGCAATGTAGCTGTTATCCCAGAAGCAGCACCAGCAACAAATCTCTCTAAGTTAGTAGATTCTTCATTCCCCAACATCCTTGTCAACTTGTTTCTGTAAGTATCATAGGCATAAAAATTTATAGCCTTAAAAGGCGCTGTACGCAGAATATTCACAAAGTTCCCTTTCCAAAAGCCTTTCAACCCTTGAGAAGTCGCAATTTCCTGAATGAGCACAAAAAGATTCTTCTGTTCCCCACGAACTATGTACTCCAACTTAAGTCTCTCGAGAGGCGCAACAAAAGTCCTGATAGAATAAGCACATATCAAACTTATACCATTGTGCATAATGCTTTTAAATTTAATGCTTCAGACGAAAGAAGAATTAATAACAAGGACTTCTATGCTGTCATCATATAGAAAATCACCACATATTATATGATAATTTTGTTGACTTTTATAACAATTAGTTAAAGAGAAGTGTTTATAACACACTCTTTGACACATTCCTTCTAGCACTGCGTCTTTATTTATTACAATTTATTGAAAGAATGCGACCAGAAAGGAGAAATTGTTACATAGTATCAGACCGCCATAGTCACAGTAAGCAATTTCCTTGGGACACATAACCAAGTCTTAATAACTCTCTCTTGTAAACTAAAAAATTCGGTTCATATGGTAATCTAAATCATCTAATTATTTCTCATTCAAAAAAGTGTGTTAGAAAGGCGTTGCTGAATTTCTTACTGCCTTAAAAGTACAAATTTTACACTAACACCCTATCAAAATCGTACAAGAATGAGTGCAGTGGGCAAACGTAAGGAAAGTGCAAAGCTGCAGAAAATATGAAATTAAGCAAAAGCGAGGTAACGTGCGTGTGAGTGGAACGATAATGTAGAAATTAAAGGAATGATTTTGAAGACCTGGAAACCATGGCAGCAAAAGCACCAGACCATAGATGTTTAGTCATGTTGACAGCACCCGATCCATTGATCTCAACCTTCTCTTTCTCTTCACTCAAACCATCATCAACATCTTCCACCTTCTTATGATGGTGTCCAAGAATTTCACCCGATTCTTTTCCATACTTCTGATCCCCACCGGTTCCGTTTAAGGACAAACTCAATGACAAGAACGCACGGCCACCTACGCCACCTTCCACCCTCAAACATCTTTCCCAACAAACACATGATACTTTTATAGGATCAGAAGAAGAAGGAGAAGGAGGAGGAGGAAGGTAGCAAGTGAAGGAGGAGGGGAGTGTGTGACCGTTGAGGAACAGACCACCGGGGAGGAACGAATCGGAGGATTCCGGCGGTGTGATTAAGTGGAGCATTGTTGTAGGTTTTGTCGTGGTCGTTGGTTTTTTTTTGTTTCAGGTTGTTTGTTTGGTACAACGTAGGAGCAGTTTTGTTGGGTCTGACTCAGTTTTTGAAGAATTGGAAGAATTGAAATACATGAGAGATGATAGAGAAAAGAGAATTTGATGCGATTTCAGATGCATAGCTTCCACCGCCGCATCTACAATGCTGCCATCCGTCACCGGTTAGCTAGCGTGGGAGGTTGATGCTCTCCTGCTTATTTATTTAAGTAATATAATAATCACTAATTTACACAACTGCAAAAAAAACGTTTTTTTTCTGTTGATAGTAACGGGTTTTATGCGTCGTGTTTTGTTGAAAAGTGTTTTTTTGTACTTTTTTTTAATATTTTCTTAATATAATTTTTAAGATATTTTATCATAAAAAATGATAAAATAATATAATGTTGAAGATTTGTTGAGTTTTAATTTTTGTTTTTATTCTTCATGGGTGAGGTTTTATTTAAGAGGGGTGAATTCTGTTCATATTTATTTATGGTTATAGGAAATTTCAACTTTCCTTTGTTATTATAACTTAATAAGTAAATTAGTGAGAGAATGGTAAAAATATTGATAGTGCATGCGTGTGGATTTCTCACGTGTAGAGCACATTCGTGTGGTCGGTGTGGGCCCAAAAGTAATAACAACGCCGTTTGGTTTGTATACGCGGCACCCCGAGTCATCTTGTTATTTTAACGGGTAAATAATATTATGGTTTTTTTAAGAAAATATAGCTCTCTAATATAACCTCTAGTATTTTTCTCTATTATTTATAATGACTGTAAAATGTTATTTTTTGTGCTTTGGATATAAAATGTTTAAGAATAAGATAAAATAAATAAATAAAAAACAATATATTGGATACCTAATATTCATTAGATGGATGAGGCAACCCTTAGCGCAACTATGGTGGGGAATACTATCCTAGCATAAACACTAAATAAAAACTATTATAGAGAATTTTGTTGTTAAGGAGAAATTTGGTGGATCCAATTTGAATTTGAGTTGAGTGCAGTAGCAAATATTTATCGAAGAAAAGTTTATGTATCTTTAAAGTATTCCAACTTTTGTATTATACAATCTATTTGATGAATCTTGTAAGTGAAAAAATTGATTGAGTTGTTTAAAACACGAAATATAATTTGACACCGCAAAAAATATAAAATATTATTAAAGGAAAAATAGAAGAGAAACTTTAGGGAGTTTGTAGGCTAACATGCTATTAGTGGGATTGTGTAATTTGCTTTCTGTAACTTTCGTCTTTAAAGTTACACGTAACTTTCATGTTGAAGAAAACGAATTTTTTGTTTTCTATATTGAGTTTGAGAACGGTGTTTCTTTCCTTCGTACAGTTGTCACGAAGCTTTTATTTTATATTGGGGCATAGTGCCACTCCATGTAACCCTGAGACAGATAACTTAATAAGGTGTGGACAATATTCTTAGACAGCTATATATATTGTTGCCATTTTTGTTATTATTTATCAAAGATAAATCTCAATTCAATTTAAAACAAGCTATTTTGGTAGTAAGAAACTTTTAATTTTAATTAAATGAAACCCATGTCTCTTTGCCTTCCTCATTCTATTTAAAATAAATACAATAATTTATTGTGTTAAAAAGGCAAATGCTGCTAGTGGAAAATTTTGCCTAAAGCGTATCATCAAGCTGACAAACAAAAGAAAGTTCATATAAAATATGAACAAAAATTCTTTTATTTTATTATATGAACTTATATTTTGGTAATTTTTTAATCTTTCGAACAATATAGCTAGATAAAACAAAGTTGGGAATGCCTAAGTTTTGTGTCAAAGAATATGCGTATATTTGTGACAACTTTTATGAACTTGCTTAATTTTATTCCTTGTATATTGTTCCTTTTCTTATAGTGTTAAGAGAAACAAATAATAAATTTACAGTTATTAACCAATAAATCATATTAGATTCCACTAACAAATAATCTTAATATATAATCAGATGTGTTCGAGCAAATTGATAAGTTTACAATGGATGGTTTTTGTAAGTTAGGCTTGGGATTTTCTACTTTAGTTAGAATGGAATGGAATGCGATGGGGTACAATTCAGGAAGTAGTAATACACGTAAAAACCCAAATGTTTAAGTCAAGAAACAATTTTAAAAGAGTTAAAAAGGATTGAAGATCATTCACATGTGAGAAAAGATAGAGGAAGGTGATCGATCCTGGTAATGATAATAACTACCAACTCTAATGGTTACTACTTACAGTTACTCTAACGAAATATAAAAAACTTTGAAATATGTAACAGTAAAGTAAAATTAGTCATCGATGAATTTTTTTATGAACCGTCAATGCTAATTTAATAGTATTTTTGTCTAATATGTGATAGCAGTAGACATAATGGACATAATAAAGGAAATGAATGAAATTTTCTAAAACACAATAGTTTTAAAAAGTGATTAAACTATTCTCTTGATACAAGTTATATGACGGAGATAATGTCGGACTGAACAGCTACCTTTTTAACAAAACAAATTCATATATAACAATAGATTAGATGTAGCATTTGTAGAAACTATCATTTTTTTACATCTTCGAATTCAAATGCTAAAGTTTGAAAAAATAAAAATACATCAATCATTACAATGACAAGATATTATTTACCTTCGAGTTTGGTTGAGACAATTATTATGGCAATGCATCTCGGTTACGTGAATTAATTTTTTTTATGCTTATCTAAGCCTAGATAGATCGTTCAACAAGGGAATTCTAACAGTAGGGTCTCAGTTAAAAAGATCCAAATTGACTCTACAAACCAATCAACTCTGCTTTGGATGACCATCCATGCCTCAAAAAGAACAAGGGCCAGATGGAGGGTTACATACGTCTTGTCTTGCCTTCGGCACAAGCTATGCATTTCTACAGTATAACCATAAACCTATGACGGATTGAGCGAGCTTGTTTATTATCTGTATTCTAACATCACGGGACTAATTGTATAACAAATAAAAAGAACAACGTTCGTACATCAAAACCACTACTGTAATTTGTCCCCCCACCCAAAAACTGAATGATCATTGCTACGAAAGCACGCTTCCTCCAGCACCAGCATTAACCATTTAATCAGCCAATCCCAGAATCATATTCGGTGAACTACTTACTATTGGCACTTTTGAGATAGTCTTCTCTAGCAGGAGCAACCTCCTCCTTGCTGCTCTGCCTGGGATGAATTCACTGTGGGCTTTAAATTTACATCGACCATGTCTTCCTGCTTTGTGGAAGAAAGAGTTTCCATCCCTGGCAGGGCAGCAGCAATCTTACGAAACAAAGGCTGCACTTTGCATTGACACAACATTAAGGGAACAGAACAAACATATGAAAGAAGATAATTTTGGGAAACAAAGATGGTGCATATGACATATCATCGGCAGCATTGTTCAGAAGAATGATTTAGTAAATGACTGAAAAGCTCACTAATTTTCGCCTTGACGTCATATATGACATATCACCGGCATCCTTGTTCATAAGAATGATTTAGTAAACTAAATATTGGGATGACTGAAAAGTTCACTAATTTTCACCTTGATATTGAAGCCTGCTTTTGCACTGGTTTCTATGAACATGATTCCAAACTCACGGGACTTTGCATCTCCTTCTTCTATTGAAACTTGCCTGTTTCAGTATCAAAATGGCTTTGTAAAGAAAATTTCAGATGGTGAAAACAAAATACTACAATGGAAACACTAGAGGCAAGCCGGTTAGTAAATGGACTAACTATGATTTCTACTTTTTGTAACTACTAATTCATGCAAAGTTCATGCCCTGAGACAAATTTTAAGCTATCCAAAAATTATATTTAATCGACCAAAATTTTACTGTTTTCGGATGAAACAGAATATGGAAACACTAAAACTGAGAAGATCGAAGCATAATATGGAAACCCCACTATGATAATAAGCAAACACATAAAACATCCAATCAGCATTATAAAAATCATATAGACCAAATTAATACTCACCTTTTATCAACAAGATCAGTTTTGTTTCCAACCAAGACAATAATAACATCACTGCCACGTTCTGTGCGGACCTCCTCAACCCACTTGTTAGTGTTCAGAAATGATTGCCTGTCTGCATAAGAACAGCTTACCTAGCTTAAATAATCATAAAATGCTGTTAAATTTTTATTATCATATGAAAAATGAAAACTAAAGCATTTACAAATCCACATGCAAACACATAAAACAAAAAAATATGCTATAGAACCGGCAGAGTGTAAGCAAGCAAGCACACAAACAACACATTAGGTTGTAATAACATGTGCATTGGAATGTAAGAACAGAACATTCACTCCCTTATATATATTATGCCCTAGAAAACCCTCTTTTGAGTTACATGGTCAAATAATTTGGAAATTTATGTCATGAAAAAATCTATGAAGATCCAGAAAAGATCCTGTTAAGTAGACAATGAAAATGCTATATAAAAGAACATATAAAACTCACTAGCAACATCATATACTATAACTGCAACAGAAGAATCTCTTATGTAGCTTGGAATCAGACTTCTAAATCTTTCTTGCCCGGCAGTATCCCTGTGAAGTTAACATAAACTAAGCTCAGAAAGTGTAAAAGAAAATGCGTACAAGGCTATGCCACAGTAATGTGCACTCTAATATAATTATTGAAGTACAAATTAAAAACCGAGCTAGTATAAGACTTGAAGAGGAATTCAACTTACCAAAGCTGCAAGCGAACAGTTCTATCTTCCAGGTACATTGTTTTTGACAAAAAGTCAATACCAATGGTTGCCTGAAATTTAAATAACCAAATATTGTCAGCAACCAAACCGCAGGAAGGGTAAAAAAGGTCAATCATTGAAGAGAAAAATAAAATACAAAAAACTCAAGAAAGAAACAAGTCCCCACATGTCCATTATAAGTTATTTTATGTTATACCCAATATAAGCAAAAACAAGACAACCTTTCATATGCCACCAGCAGTGTACTTTCATCTCATTTCTCTCATTCTCTCTTCGTGTAGTCGCATTACGCGCGATACCATTCATTTCTCTCTTTCTTTTCCTATCTTTCACAAGGTATATATACCCACGGACTGTTTACCCAATATATTTCCTAAAAAATAAGCATTACAAGCAATCAGAAGTCTCACTAAACAAGCCTCTTAAAAATCAACACAAAGAGGATTTAGAGTCAATCCCTTCTCAATGATTAAAACAAGCTGTTCTTCCTATTCTAGCATTTCACCAACTCAAAAAACGAGGATCCCGAGCCTAACATGTTCAATTTGAAAACGAATTTCAAACGACTCTACTTTCCATTTTAAACTGTGACTGGCAGATTGAGGATTGAATCTCAACACAAGAAAACAACCGTCCCTCAATTTCATCATCCGATTAAGTTAAGATAGCCGGAAAAAAAATCAGAGCAAAAGCATATCTCAATCTCAGAGCACATCTATCTGTCGCATAATTGATAACAAAGCTCCTACCAAATTCAAATCACAGCAAAATTTATAGCGGAACTCATCTCCCAAACAAAGTCACCAATTAAAAAATATATACAGCGTGACGTGGTGATATAATGAGGGATTGATTGACGTGAACCACATGCACATATAAAACGCATGTCGGAAACGAAAATGAATATATTAAAATTGGATAACATATATTGAGATTGACAAAGCATGGATGGAGAGAGACCTGGTAGGTGGTGTCGAATTTGTCGTACATGAAGCGGGTGATGATGCTGGTTTTCCCGACGGATTGATCGCCCAAGAAAACGAGCTTGTATTTGGCGAGAGGGGACACCGTCGCCATTTCCGAAAATCTCTTTCTTCTCTCTCAGAGACGCAAGCAGATCTGAATCTCCCAAATTCTCTTCTCTTTGATCCCAAGAAAAGAAAGCAAATGAAGGATTACCAAATTTAACCTAATTTGGAGTGCAATGCGTTATGTATGAATGAATGTGTGGGGGTTGCGAACCGCCAACCTCGATGACTATGAAGACCGTGACACGCTAATTTTCTCATTTCTATAACCTTTCATACAGCTATACAATTGGGATTATTAAACGTAAGTATCGTTAATTGAAAGTTAAGAGAGTTATCTTTATGATTAAATTTTTATTTGTTAAATATTAAATACCATTGAGAGATATCAATACTAATTAAAATTAATTTTAAAAACATTAGTCTGTTTCTTAGTGTGTTTTGTCGGTTTTCTCTCCTCTCAAAATAAGAATAAACATTAATTTTGTCATATTATTTTTTGTGCAAAGTATTTTCTTTCTGTACAATATTTAGGGAATAAAGTAAACCATCAATCTAACGTGAAAACCTAATAGTATAAATAATACTTAGAAAGATATTTATAATTATTTTATTCCAAATAAATAAAAAGACTGACTTTTGACTTATAGAATGAGATCAATTATGTAAACATTGTATATTAAGAAACAGTTTTAACCTATGAGTACAGTTTTCAATTAAACTGAATTGGATAGGTTGGTCCAATCTGAACTTAATAACATTGATATAGATAATTTATACGAATCTCGCAATTTTAATAATACATTTTTAATGTGGGTGGTAAAAATCATCGTGGTTTTATTTTAAGAACTAACGTACAATTTATTAGTTTTAAAGAACAAAAACACATTTAGGTTTTATGTGATTGTAATTCAACAATTAAATTGTCTGAAAATCAAATATTTCAGGGAAGGAGTAAACATATTAATGTTGAATTTCATTTTTTAAAGGACATGGTCAAAGAAGAAAATATCAAGTTGAGTTACTACAACACTAAAAAGCAAGTAGTTGATATAATAATTAGTCCACTCAAATTGGAGCAGTTTTTAAAGATCTTAAATAAGTTGGACATGATTGGAACATCAAAAGTAAACTAATGTTTGCTTAGACATTTAGTTTAAGGGAGGGATTGGTAATAATTAAATTATGTTATTAAGTTGCTCTTTGAATTAAGTAGTGTTTTATTAAATAAACTCATGTTAATCGTTGACCGATTCCTTTAAAAATATTTAATTCTTGATTTTATTAGGTAACCACCATTATTTGTGCATGGTGGTGAGGTAGTTTTTATATTTTTGCATTCTTTTTATTGTAATAATTTGATTTTCCATTTAATAAGACGAGTAAGTATAAATTTAGATAATTTTCACCTATTTTTTGTTCACAATTTTATGAAGAAAAAAAATGATTTATTATATATAAGTATGTTCTTTTCAGTATTATACCACTTAATTATTATTATTTTATTTAGTTTTTCATATTTATCATTCATATATTTTACTACTTAACAATCGTTATGTTAAAAATATGAAAAACGATGATGTTTTAGTATAAATTTTGTAAACAATAATGTCTTTGTCTCTTTTTTTTTTCATGTAATTCAATTATTATATTATAAACTTATCGAATTAGTAAAATTAATTCAAATTTAAAAGTTATATGGTAAAATATGAAGAAGAAGAAATGATAATAAAATGTATAATTCATTCACAAAATTTAAAATTAATTCAAATTAATTCACAAAATGATAATAATCAAATGATAAAATGTATCATTGATTTTTTACAATAACAAACTCATTTTATTTCACTTTGCTCACAATCAAGTTTTATGGTCACAACATCCCATAAGCCAAATGCCAATGTTTCATGCGTTTCTCTCATTAAACAATTACATAACCTATTTAAAGAAATAAATTAAACATAAAAATTCAATTAAAATATTAAAATTTTAATCCTTTAATAATTACAATTAAAAATATCTAAATCTAAATCTAAATTTATCATAATCCAAAAAATTAATTAAGTCTAAACATTTTAAAAAATATATATAAAAAGAAAAAGTTTGAAAATAGATCAGAGTCTATAACCTCTTTATTGTTTAAATAACTTATTTTTCTGAATAAAGAATATATACGTATTTTTTAAATTAAAATTATCTACTGATTTCTCACATTGTATCAACACTAAATCTCCAAAATATATGAATAAACAATGGTTTTAATATTTTAAAATATATATATTTTTAATATATTAACATCAATATACATTAAAAAAAACTCAATAGAAACACAACACTAAAATCTCAATATAGAATTTACATTCTTATTTTTCTCATCAGAAGGATAAAATGGTTTAATATTTTTCTTTTCCAAAACAAACGTTGACGAAGAAATTTAGTAGAAATAAATGAGAAATAGACGTACAATAGCTGTAAGCCACAAGTCGCAATTCCGTTGCAGTGTGGAAGCTTCAAAGCCCAAATCCTTAATAATAATAATCAAAGATTGATTTTAAAATTATTTTTGACCTCATCAAACCAAAAATAAAACAGAAATGCAACAATCATTCGGGTTTGATGTAGAAGGAACGAGAGAGATGTAATTTATTCTCTTGACAATATAAAATTATTTAATATTAGAAAATTTATGTAATATATATTTTTCAAAATATATTAAAATAAGAATTATTCCTTATCTTTATTTGATGCATCGTTATTTTTTTTATATAATTTAACAAACATAATCAAAATCATATATATTTACAATTTAATAGTCGAATTTACATTATGAGAAAAGTTATTGAATGATGTAAGGTATCATTCGACTTCTATCCAATATAAAATAATATCACATTTAATTATATTTAATTCAACAATAAAGATAATAACATGACTATAAATATAATTATAATAAGAATATTTGAAAACAATATGATTCATTAATATATTAAAGTAAAAAAAATTGTAGTAATTCAAATTGCAATATTTAATTTAAAAGTAATTTTAAAAATGATAGCATACCCATAATAACCTAAATTTCTGAAATTTCAAAATCTTAAAAAAGTAATTTCACCATAAAAAAAAATACGTGTAAGATTACTATATAAAGAGAGGGGAAATGCCGGAAAAAAAAAACAGCAGAAAAAGAAATATAGGAATTAAGACGAGAATCTGGTTTTTTAAAATGGTAAGTGAAATTTATGATGTAAGAGAAAATTGAAACATTATTATAGAAATGATAATTTGATACATACAAAATTTTCACATTTATTTGATATTATTATTTTTTGTTTAGAAATGGTATTTTGATATTTACAAATTACTATATTTGTTGTTTTTTATTTTGTTTAAAAAATATGAAAGTTGATTTTTCATTATTATTTTATTTTTGTAATATGTGTAAGATGAATGTGTATCATCTTATTATTGTTCTTTCTTTTTTAAAATATAAAAATGTATTCTTTGATAATCATTTTATCTTTATGTATAAAACAAATATAAATGTGTGTAGTAGAAAAATTACAAGATTATTATTTGGACAGAGCAACAGAATGTTATTAAAGTTAGGAAAGAAACAAGTCACCAACCTTCTTAACTGCAGTCCTACACTGACCACAGAATTAACTTCTAGCATTAATACGGACATTGCTCTCTTCTTTCTCTTCTTCATTAAAAATGCTCTCTCTCTCTCAACTATACTGCAATTAGATACACTCTCACCATGAAATCCCTTCAAGTGGCTCAACCACAACAAGACTCAAGTGATAAGGTTTCTGACAAAACCATTGTCATTCCCAACAAACTCACGGCACTAGCTGATAGCTTCAAAGGAGAACACTCATGGTACAGTCTGCAAAATAACATCTTTTTTTTTTGTATGGATTAGACAGTTAAAAATTCTGCAGTAACATGTTTGAGTATGTTCACTTCCTGGTTTTCTTTTGTTTCTTTTCTGAGTTGGTCTTGTGCAGGTTCATTGCTCCTCAAATCCCAACAGACTTTTCAATTCAAGTCCAGGAAACCACTTATAATGTTCACAAGGTATAAATGCTTTGACATGTTTAAAGCACCGAGTGCAGAAAATTGTTTACTTCTCCCTCTTAATTTAGATTAATCAGCTGTGTATTTAGAGCACATGAAATTGATAGCATCGTAGAGTATACAACATATTATTTTAAAATATATTTTCCAATTTAATGAGTTATATTCCAATTTGTTTCAAACAATTTTATCTGAGTATAATTTATTTTTTATAAATAATATGATTGTTTTAGTTAGAATTTTCACAAGGCTTAAAAAATTAGCATGTCAATTCGGTATATATTTGATCAATTTTGAATATTCTTTTAACAACCCTAATTATACTTACAAAATCTTGAAAACAACATATAATGGAAATGAAGTTACATTTTGCTGTAACAGACAGACAAGCAACTTATGTCTTAATCATTATGTGTGTTAGCTTCTTTGCTGTAACATGATTACGTACTTTGATAACGTTTTCTGTAACCACAGTACCCCTTGATATCGAAGTGCGGCTACATAGGACGATTGGAGATTCAGCCTTTCATCTCAAATTCTGGGAATGCTCTGAAGCTTGAAAACTTCCCAGGTGGGTCTGAAACATTTGAAACAGTTCTAAAGTTCTGTTATGGCCTCCCAGTAGACTTCAGCCCAGATAACATAGCTGCACTAAGATGTGCATCAGAGTTCCTAGAGATGACCGAAGAACTAGAAGATGGAAATCTAATTTCCAAGACTGAAGCTTTCCTCACCTTTGTTGTGCTTTCTTCATGGAAAGACACTATCACTGTTCTGAAATCTTGTGAAAACCTATCTCCATGGGCTGAAAACCTCCAAATTGTAAGAAGATGTTGCGACTCCATTGCGTGGAAGGCTTCTAAAGATGATCACACAAGTGAGGATGCAGCGCCAAATCAAGAAAGCTGGTGGTTCAATGATGTGGCCACCTTCCGCATTGATCATTTTATGAGGATCATTTCTGCAATAAGGGCAAAAGGAACCAGAGCAGAGATCATCGGTAAGTGTATCATAGAATATGCCAAGAAATGGCTGCCAGGAATGGATGTGGAGATAGAAGGGCTAAGAGGATATGGGCATGAAAAGTATAACCTACAGTTCAGTATTTTTAGTGGGAAGAAGAAAGAGAGCAGTGGGCACAGCAAGGAGCAAAAGACAATTATTGAAACCCTGATAAGCATTATTCCTCCTCAGCCAGATGCAGTCTCATGTAAGTTCATGTTGCAGTTGCTAAAGATGGCCATGATGTATTCTGTCTCACCAGCTCTCACAACAGAACTTGAAAAGAGAGTGAGTATGGTGTTGGAAGACGCTGAGGTGAATGATCTTCTGATTCCAAGATATCAAAATGGAGATCAGGGTAAAACAGTCATGTGAGTATGCTACAATTCTCCCTTTTTTTCTTCAAAATTGGAATTGGCAAAATTATGCGATTGGTCAAATTTGATTTCACAACTCTGAACCAGAAATGCAAAAGATAAAACCCTAGAATTATGAAAATGACCAATGAAACTAATATCTATATTGTCTTTTTCTATCCTTTTTTCCTCCTCATTAGTAGCATGACTAATTCATCTGAAGAATGCACCATGCTAGACATAGACGTGGTTCAACGAATTGTTGAATACTTCTTGATGCATGAACAACAGCAGATGCAACAGCAACAGAATACGAGGAAATTCAATATTAGTAGGCTCTTTGACAATTACCTAGCTGAGATTGCAAGAGATCCAAATCTTTCAATCACTAAATTCCAAGTATTTGCTGAATTGCTACCCGAAAATTCTCGATCATATGACGACGGTCTGTATAGAGCCATTGACACCTACCTCAAGGTCATCATTTTAATTCTTATGTTTTGTAATTCTGGTTCCTGTTAAAACTAAAGGCATTTATAAACACAGTTTTGACATTCTGATATTTGACATCCCTACAGACCCATCCTTCACTAAGCGAGCATGATCGTAAAAGACTATGCAAAATCATGAACTGTGAAAAACTCTCACTTGATGCATGCCTTCATGCCGCACAAAATGAGAGATTGCCCCTAAGAACAGTTGTCCAGGTAAAGTTTGCAATCTCTGCAATCAAACTATTTCAGCTTCATACATGATAAATTAACAAATGACCAACTATTTCGGAATTTCTGGTTCCATTCCACCAATAAAAAAAGCAAAAAATAATAGCACAATTCCGAATTCAGATTTAGCAGTGTCTGTTCAACAAATTTAGGAACCAATTAAAAATTTGAACTAATTTAGGATAGATTATACTGTGTTCATTATATTAATAATTGTGACTTTATAGACCTAGACCTCTTTCTTTTACTTTCAACGGAAAACCCTTAAAACACTAACGGAATCTGTAGGTGAATGGCAATTTTTCAAACGAAAGAAGTAACTTTATCAGAAGGAAAGAAGGATCATATTGAGGCAGGATAATACAAATACTCCTCATAGGCAGAAAAATAGAAACAAAATAGAAACACTCCCAATCCCTCCCAGAAACTATCAAGGAGAGGCTTAAAACAATCCTATCCAAATGGAAAATAGTTGACAACAGTTTATTGTACAAAGAATGGTTTTCTAGTGCTAATATAACAAGAGTGAAATGCAGGTTCTGTTTTCAGAGCAAGTTAAAATGAGGACAGCAATGCAGGAGAAGGAGCCAGCACAAAGCGGAATCCAATCTGAACAAGAAGGAAACCAGACATCTGCATCTATGGACATTAAGGCACTCAAAGCAGAACTTGAGAATGTAAAGACCAAAATGGTAGATCTGCAGAATGACTATTTTGAATTGCAACAGGAGTATGAAAAGTTAAGCAACAAGCCAAAGAATTCATCAGGCTGGATTTTACATTGGCGGAAGATTAAGAACTCCTTACATACAAAACCAGCAGGAATTGAAATTGGAGACAGACAGGACACACCCAAGTCACCAAACACCGTTCTACGTATACTAAACCCTAGAAGAAGGCTCTCCATGTCTTAAAGTGTTACCTGCTTCAAGTTTCAACATAAAAAGTACTGTAGTAAAAACACCTAGCAAGCCATTCTTTATATGAAGCACATGGTCTAAATTTTGTATCTTAAGATATTGTTAGTCATAGGCTTTAGCTTCCATATACAGACTAAGACTCCCAAATGCAGCAATACAAGTACACAAGTTTACACATCTAAGAACAAAACAGAAAAATAGCTACAATACTGATACAAGCTCATGGACCCTAACAACTTACAGTTGATAGAACATCGACCTTTTAAGTTCAGCAAAGAACCATAAAAAATGTTGATGAAGGGAAGACACAATGCTCTAGCATAGCCAAAACAAAAAATGTAACTTGAATGGAAACAACATTTGTAATTTAGGAGGATGTTTGCTTATACTGGTTTAGTGATTAATAAGTCCCTTATAACAACTGAGTGCTCAATGATTTCTTAAATAAAGATTCTTGGAATCATGGTCATACGGTTCAATGTTCGTAGCAACAAGATTGTTGACGTTCGAGGTAAGCAACAAACTGAACATGGTGTTGAAAGTTCCGAACTCAAATTCCGGGTACATTAGTAAAATTAATGGCATCAATTCAAATTATCATTGTAAGAAACTAAATAGAATAATTTACCATTTCAAACATCACTGTTGAACTGTACTGAAAAAAATACACCGCTGACACAATTGGACCAGGAAGAGTAGAATTTGAAGGCTTATAGCTCCAAATTCGGATGCAAAAGGGTTGCACTTGACACGACGTATGACAACCAACAAGTTCATATACAGAGAACAATGGATCTCACTTCCTAGAACAAGCACATGATGCTGCAGAATTACTGAGATAAATTTGTGTCAACAATCGATTCAGCTAAAATACCATCCCTATGGGCAACATAAGCATTAGCATGTCTAAGTAGTGGAATCGTTTCTTTCTCATTCCGAGCATGATTCTATTTTATTGGTGTGTGCTTCCCCGACAACCACAACTCATCAAAATTAAAAAAAAAACATTTTTTATTATAAATTACCCTCATGATTTCTCTATAACATTTGATATTCCAGAAAAGGATTTAACTTTTGTTTTTGGGATAAACCATTCATTTCAGAATTGACTTTCCTAAACATAAAAAAGCCATTTCAGAATGAATGAATTGAATGGGAGGTGACTCAAGAAACTTCTTAGATTTTGAAACAAATACCATACAGAAAGTTACAGATAAACGTGAGCCACAAATCTAAAAACCTCGACATTGCGCCAAAAATGCAGACGTGGACCACTTCTTAAAACCGTACGAAGCATAATCCTCGTTAATCAATAAACTCCAACAAACTAATGTAGTTACCATTCTATGTTTTTCTATGCCCAAATGGAACAAAAAGAGAGAGAGAGAGAGAGAGAGAGAAAAGAGTGAATTGAAACCCACAAAACTACAGACCTAGCTGTGAGTGGTCAACGTCTTCTCATTCTTGTTGTCTTGGAGGGTGAAAGCAAAGGGGAAAGGGTTGTGGGAGGAAGAAAGCGGGTTCTTGAGGGTGACATAGGCCTTCTTGTAATCAGGTTTTGCGACCAAGGAACCCGCGTAACGCTTCTTCTTGCCCTTCATGATAAGAGTTCGCACCTTTTGGACCTCCAAGCCATAGAAGGATTCTAGGAAGCACTTGATTTGGAGCTTGGAAGCCGAAGGTGCAGTCTTAAATGCGATTTCTTTGATTTCATTTGAAGAAGTGGTAGGAATGAGTGGCATCATCGGAAGGTTTGTGATGTGCGCCATCTCTTCTTTAAAGCTTGGACCTTTCTCCCACCTTCCTTAAGCACTGCTTCCAATGCTAAAAAAACCCTCTAGTGCGTTTATCATACCCCTAAAATCTTAGAATTTGTTTTTTCCTTTTGTATCTTTTTTTTTTTCAGTTTTGATCTTTTGTGATTCAAAATATGTTTTTTTTTTGTAATCAGGCTTTGCCAAAATGTTTATTATTGTTGGTAACATTTGTTTGTAGCAATTATTCTTCAATTTAAAATGTTGACATCAATTCAAAATGAAAAGATAACTTTCCGTTTTTCTTAAAATTTGAAGTTACGTAAATGAAATTAATTTGAGTGTTTTTAATAAAATATTACTATTTTAAAATAGATCGTACCAACTTAAAATGAATTACATAAAAATTGGTCTACAATTTAGATTTTTTTTTTTCAACTTGGAGCAAACTTTTTTTAGAGGCTATTCAAGTTGGTCTATCAAATTAAATCTGTTTGTCAGTTATAAAACAAGACATTCTTTAATACTTTCCTCCTAACACACTTTAATATTGGTTGAAATTTATTGAAAAAGAAAAAATAACCATAAAAGAAAGTTATTAAGTAGGACGTGAGATACAAAATTCTGCTTATGATTTTCTAGAAATTACATTTAATATAAGAGGGTGTGTTAAAAGATGTATTTTCTCCTGTTGAATCTTCGTCAGGTTGGTTTCAAATTCACACAAGTGATCCTAACAAAAAGAATTGGATGGGAAGGAACCGATATAAAAAATAGTTGTTTTTATGATATATTGATCATTCACTTTTAGTTGCAAAATTATATCGCAGAATTAGTTACTTCCGGATTAGGAATCCACAATGTAAAAACACATTCTGAATTGGTGTGGAAAGCAAGTGCCATACATACATCTAATCACAATGGGTCCATGCACATCTAGTGTTAGTCTAGTGTAGGAATTGATAAAAAATATTCCTAATGTTAAATTCATCAGAGATAAAGGATTAATAGACAACAAACGTTTTTATGCGTGAATTTCGTTGGTGATACAGGGAATCTATCCAATGATATAAATTTCAAATCAAAATCCTGTTATCCACACAATGAAGAGGAGACAAATAAATGACCATTTAAAGATTCCAGAATATTAAAGAACAAAACAAACTCTGTATAACACCCTAATTTTATTGAGACTGAGAAGACATCGAAAAGAATGCTTTGCCTTCTATGTTCTATCATTTACAATATGCTATATTCAGGATAAAAAAACAAAGTAGTTTTAGTGGGGAACTAATGAATAAATCCCCATGCTATAATAGGCCAGATTCTATGACTCCTTCTTCTTAACCTGATAGGGGTATTTCTGGTATATTGAAATGCTAGTGACCACTATTGGAAGAGCCACAAGGCAATACAGCGAAGGTGGTTTTCCATCGAAAACAAACTGTAGCAGTGCTGTAATCAGTAAAGCCGACACAATGACAAAGCCCTGCAACCACGTTGAATAAATGCCACTGTAAGTAGATTCGTACAAAACAAAAAAATGCGGAGTGTTTTCTCCCCTAATATTTCCTGTGAAATGACTTCAGAAGTCATAAAATTGTCATCATGTCCAGCAACTCAAGTTTCTCAATAATTTTAAGTTGTCCACTACCAAATTAGTAATCACTCGAAGGACCAAAAGTTTGTGCAGTTACTGCCTTGAATGCTCCATCAATATGGTGCAATAATAATTTCTCTTAATCAACATTAATAATGCATGTTAGAATTCAGATTAAAGCCCCGATAAAACAAATTTATACAATCTGTTTTCTCTAATTGACCAAATTGCAAACTAACAATAAGGGCTGATTAACACCTGACCACCATTTTACTTGTCATCTGAGGATAGTGCATACCTAAAGTAATTCAATAACAATTTACAAAGTTAAACTTACCTTTCGAACACCACCAGCGTGGCTTGTAACTAAACCAACAAGAATTCCACCAAAGGCGTTGAACATTACTGGAATCTGAATTGAATAAAAAAAGATAAGTAACGTTTTAAAGTTGATGTACATCAATATCTATTAAAGACACATCAGCTATGGATAAAAATAGCCAGAACAAGGCACTATAAAGTCCATTATCTGAATTTCCAAGTAGTTATCATACTCACTATTCAGTAATGTAGTTATCACAGATTTGCCATCAACAAGAATGTGAGGGAATTAATCAACCCCCCTCGTCTCCCCAACAAAAATAAAATTGTTACCAATCCTGATATAAAAAAGTATCAGACCCAATTTACATGTATATTCATGTGCTTGGGACAGACAGCAGAATGCCAAAATTTGAGCCTTTCAGTATTCTTTGTCTATGTTCCTCTCTTCACGCATAAGCATAACAACAGTCTAACAGTTCTAAGAATTAAATTACAGAAGTCAAACAGCGGTAAGAACATTACCAAAGTAAGAGGAGTCCACCCATAGAAAAATCCATGTTGTCTCATAGCTTCCCCATCTGGAGATTTAAAAGTACTGGCTAGCAAACATAGACTTCCAACGATAGACATTTCTATAGTCATCAAGTATGATGAGTGTTTTTTAACCTGTGACAGAAGGAATAAATACATAAACAATAATATTGATCAAGAAAGCAATTAAAATTTGAATAGAAATTGAAAGTTGTGGTAACCTGAGAGGCCCACTGACACAAGGAAGAAGCCAGTCCAGAGAGCACTGAAGCAACTAATACAGGAATAATTCCATAGAATAAAATTTGATCAGCATTACTACTAGAGGAACCTTTGCTAGAGCCTTCGCCAACACTTAAAAGAACTGCCGCAACAATTAGCAAAAACAAGGCCCCAATCTGTTCAATTGATTGTTTTTGCCTGTATGAAGCATTATCAGATGGCATGTAGTGTAAAATGTTAGCATTATAGGTCCAAGTTTCAAGAAGGAAAAGATGATGATGATGACCTAGAATATATGAAAATACAACAATGGATGAATCTATTAAAAAAACCCTAATCCAATATTCATTCAATCCTGTTTATGCTAATAATTTGGTCAAGTACTATCAGTACTTGTACCCGCCAACAATAAGAACAATAACCTTATAAACAGAAGAATTAAAAATAAAGACAACCCATTTAAACAGAAGTTATCACAAAGAAGGGAAAGAAACCCAGCAACATAAAAGATCGTTGAACCATCCAAACACAGCAAAGAAAAGCAGAAATCTAGTACGAGAAGCTAGTAAGTAAGAGAAGAAGAGAAGAAATGCTTCTCAAAAGTGTCTCCCTATAATCACCCACTGAAAGTGTTGCAGAAGCACCCCAACAACAGAAGAAATCAACATATCCAAAACACCTAACAAAATTTAGACGAAGGTTCCAGAAAACACCAAGTGCACATATGGCCTCAACCCAACCCTCCAACTGCAAGAATATAGTAGGTTCAAATCAAACATCCTAAACAACACCAAAAATATACCTTAACCAGCCAAAACCACAAGAAACCGGTAGAACTTCTGTTCCTAAGAATAAATTACTTTTAGTTTGAGTTTGTTCTACAGACACAACAGCTATTGAGTGAAACCATTTACTTAACAAACATAGATAATAATTTAGCTTATCCTCTATCACACATGTGAACACATAGGTCTTGCCAAAAATAGCAGAAATATTAATTAATTGTAATGTAGGAACATACCTCAATATGAGATATGTAAAGAATGCAGTGAAAAATATTTTTGTCTGATTCAGCATTGAGAATGTGAGTGAATCAAGATTCTTGTAAGAAATTTGCAGCAAACTATTTTGCAATGCATATATAGCTGCAGGAAGTCCTGATGCAGTCAGTGCACCAACCAAAGTCCATTCTTTATACGCTTTCCTTAGAGTACCATCTTTTGCCATGATAAACAATGCACATAAAACCTAAAAGGCAGATCACAGAGATGGATGACTGTCAATAAAAGTAGGTTATAGTACAGGTTTTACAATAACCAATGCCAAAACTATGTAGAACAGTTCAAGATTTACCTTTGCTAGCTCACATATCAAAACAGATGAAGTCACAATAACCTCACGTCTGCAGGAAGAGGAAAATAGGTTATAAGACATGCTTCACATGGTCATTCACAATTAATGGTTTGATGCCCAAGGAAATGAATGCCTTCAAAAATGTTAAATTTTAATTTCGGCAAATCACAATTAATATTATGATGATTACCAAACAATACTGGTGTTAACATCATATCCAGGCCCGATACACAAATCAGATATGCCATCTTGGATATGCATTTTTTCCATTTTAATTATTTGTGCCGTCTGGATGGAATGGAATTGGGATAGAAGGCAAATGCTAACCAGTTTCCCATTGGTTAAGGAATTAAAAGGGGGATTTTTTTTAATTGGGATGCAGAGAAATGCACTTTTCTGTGATTTTCCCATGTGATTTTCAATAAGAATTTTCTCCTTTTAATTGTTTAAACAATGCCCTTAGGGGCCCTAATTAGCAGGACCCTTAGGGGCCCTAATAAGATAGTGGATAATGACTAACGGTGAGTTTTGAAACGTCTGTGCCTCTTTTTAATTTTGATTATAGGATTTTCACTAGGAATAACCATGCATAAATGCTTACATTTTGAGTTCAAGTGATCGTGTTATAGTTTATGTTTGTGTTGATCATCAATTTTTCATGTTATAAACAAACTCTGACGTATCCCTCTTTTTACTGAATTTATTTGCATCCTTGTATCCACTAAGTAAAACAGAAAGCACATTTGCTGGCACAGGAATCATGCACAAGGAAAATTATGTAAATACAAATATTAAAAAAATAGATGGAAAAACAGCCCAATTTTGTTCTCATATTTTCTAGACTACATGCACATGACAAAGATACGTGGGCTATGCTTAAAACATCATGTAACACTATATGCTATTTAGAGCAAGAATAACTGCATGGGCAACCGACAAATAGTTGTAACATTATCAGACTCTAAAATAATGAACAAGGATGTATTTAGCTCCTCCAAAGTGAGGAAAATGCACTTCAGAGGATAAGTGTCATTATTGCCGTTAATTAGAAATCAACAGTTAGGAATTTTAACAACTTCATAATTTTATAAATGGCTGTCTTCAATTATGTAAATTTAGT